ACATGGGATATAGCCAGGTCCCTCAAAATTTTTCTCTGTTCAACTTCAACGCGTCAAATGCCATCTTCCCGACTTCAAGGAGATCTTCATCCTCAGGCCCGCAGGTCGCTCAAAGGCCACCTCCTCATGGTTCGTGGCTATACCTGAGGCCACTGTCATTCTTCTCATCTACCAGTCTGGGTGGGCAACAATGCGGGAGATCGCTCAGGGTCTGCTGGGGCTAGGAGTTCGATTCTACACAGTTCTTGAGGCCAAGAAGAAGCCGGAAGAGGAGCGGAGCTGGGAGATGATACCCTTAGGGCTGGGTTCCAGGCCCAACGACTTCCACCCCAGCCAGGAGGACTACCTGTCCTACCTCGCAGCCAGAGACCAGGTGCTGAGGAGCAGATACAGCTGCGCCATTCACCTCACTGGGGGCATCGCAGGTAGGATAGCCACCAAAGTTGTGTTGAAGTTCTCAATGGCCCCATCGTCGGCGATGCACTTATTGGCAGCCATGGAGACAGCTTCTTCGTCGATGATGCTGTAGGGGAAGATGTGCTCGACATTGTGAGCGGTGTCTACTACATCCAGAAAGCACAAGGATCAGGAAGACCTAGCCAACAGTCCTGGTGGCCAAAACAAAACTCTTGGCAGAAGATGGGGTTCAGTGAGGTGCAGTGGCAACCAGATGTGGAGGCCTTCTACCAAAAGCACCAAACTGCTCTTCAAAATGGAGAGTACACCCTCAGGAAAGCCACAGACTGGAGGGAGAAGTTCAAGTATGATCGGAAGTTCACAGCGCAGTTTCATGAAGGTAGTGAGGCTCTCGCATGCGAATTCCTTAGGCACAGCAGCAGAGTTGGTTGATCTGTGAGTCTCCCATTTTCTTCACCTTGCTACTCCTTCACTCAACTTCAACATGGTTCTCAGTCTTCGCCTCCTTGACTGCACTCTGGCACCTTCGATATTTGTAAATACATACATTTCTCCATCTCTATTTTGTTCTCTTGGACCTCCCTCATTCTCCTGCTATGGACCGCCTCCATGTACCCACTCTGTTCAATATAGTATTCTTGAGTCCCCACATCTGTGTGATAAACAACACATAAGAAAGATGGTGCTGCGATGCCAGGAATTGAATATGGAGACCCTTGGATGAGAGCTACTTAAGGCTTGGAGTACATCCTGCAGAGTTTGATCAGAAAAAAAACTGAGTTGTCTATAGATGTACTTGTGTAAAAAAGATAGTCTATTCTAAGTACTTGGGCTACAACCCTCCCTTGCATCTATGAAGC